AATTATGATAAAACATTACATATAGTGATAAAAATTGTTTTCTATTATTACAAATCATTTATCACAATAAATTAGTTTAAAATGACAAATTATTATTATCACAATAAATAATTAGGCTATGGTGATCAAACTTTTTTTTGTCACCATACACTTAAGAGTACGACTGTACGAGCTTAATGTGACCAATCTGGTGAACAATACAATTCCTCACATTAGCGAAATGGTCACGATTTTGATATTTATAGTAACAAATTATTTTATTGCGAAAAGCCTAAATTCTTGTAATGTAACAAAATAAAAAAATTTAATACTTACATACTCTTGATCAAACTCCTTCCATTGCATAAATTGTATATAAATATTTAAGCTACGTTTGTTTTATTATTTTTTCCTATCCTATCCAAAATATATATTTATTTCATTATTCTCAAAATTCAATCTTATTCTATTCAACTCAAAATATTAAAAAATTTCAACCCCCTAGGTTTGTTAATTTAACTAAATACCCCTAACAAAAAAAGTTTATAAATTGACAAAACACTCTCATCCACTCACATTTGTCAGATTATGGCCACCACTGCTAGAAGGTGGTCAGAATCTACCGTAATGGCACACCCCAACTAGATCTGGCCGATAGCGCATCGATCTAGCCTTTTCGAAAAATGGCAGATCTACGGCCAAAGATATGGCCATTGACGCCACATTTGGTCGTCGTTAAATGCTAGATCAGGTTACTACCGATCAGAGCCAACCAATAGTACACCATTACAGTAGATTCCGGCCACCTTCCAGTGGTGGTGGCCAGAATCTGGCAAATGTGGGCGAGTGGGTGGATGAAGATGTTTTTGTTAATTTATAAACTTTTTTGTTGGAGCTGTTTAGTTAAATTAACAAACCTATGGGTGTTTTTGTTAATTTTAAATCCTATCTCATAATAACAACCTAACTCAACTTTTTAGTTTTTAAAAAATACTATTCAAAATAATAAAACAAACATAGCCATATATATATATTTTTTAAAATCTCTTTAAATACCATTTAATACCGAAAATAGCCTTGTTTTTTTTTCCTAATTTCAAACTTAATTAGGTTTTTTTTTTTTTTTTTTTAACATATCTTTTCCCAATTTAAACTGAATTAGGTTTTTTTTTTTTATACCCATGGTTTTTAATTTCAATTTTGAAACTTACATTTTTCTTCAAATTTATATTCAGCTTGTTGTGTGACTACTTTATCTATAGCTTCAGTAAATATTTTCATTAAATAAAGAAATAGGGGAGAAAAAAGTTTCAATATTTAAAAAAAAATGAATTTGGTTTATGCAAGATTAAAGCTTAAAAATTAAAACAAAAATAAAACAAGATAGATGTATTTGAAATTATTAGTCATTTTCAATCATTATTATTAAGTTAAAATTGTCAAAATAAATAAACAAGTGGGATAGTATCAATATGATGGGAGCTAAAAATCTTTTTTTTTTTTTTTTATGTATGAGTGTCCAGTCAGCGTACGCTACCTCATAATCTACCGAGACCATGAAACTACCGTCAGATAAAAGTTCATGACTACCCCTATTAGCAATCAATGAGAGACTTGAATTGAAGACCTCTTGAGTAATATACCTAAAGTCTCTATGAACACCTCGACCACCTATAGTAGTTAGCTAAAAATCATTTCCCTTAAACGAGTCCGATGGTACTCTATATACTATCATGGGAGGGAACTACATTAACCAATAGCTGAGGCTGAGCCGAAAGTCTTGTTGTAAGATGGTTAAAAGCATAATGGATGAGCATCATTTCTGCCTACTGATAAATATTGCAAACTATCACTTTCTAAATGAGTGTGAACATTGCTGATTTAATTAGAGCTGTAAACATGTCGTCTCTAGTTGAAAATCTTGGAGACATGTCCGGTTTTCATTTTATAATTCAAGTAAATGTACTTTTCAAAATTTTCTAAACACATGTCATTTTCAAAATCATATTTATTTTATTTTTTTTCTTTTTAGTTGGGGAACAGCAAGAATATATCCGAATTCATGTGAACTGTGAACCTCCAAGTTTTTACATAGACACCCGATAGGAGGAACCTATGGTTTTGAAATGGAAAACTAAACTCACCTTATAAATTGATGTACGTAGGAAAACCTTCATAAAAGTAAGTAGACATCGCATTAAAAATACAAGTTTTTTTTCATATCTTATCAAATACCAAAGTTTAATATTTGTAAATCATTTAATACACAGTTAGATTCAGCCTTTATGTTGTAGGATAAAAGATAGAATAAGGTATGTAGTTATTGCACTTAAGATTCTGTACCATAATATAATATTATAATTATATTATATAATATATATATATCTATATATATATAATTATATATATATATATATATATCTATATAGATATATATATATAATAATTGGATTGTCTGAACCAGCTTGCACACACTTCAACTAATCTATGGGATCTTTTAAACACTCTAAAAATCCAAAAGACGAGATAAGCCACAATGTTATTGTGGTAGGTGGCCCCAAGATTTGAATCTAATAACTTAAGGGAGTGAGCAAACCTCCTTGACCGTCAGACCATTCCCTTGGGATTACCAGAATTAACTTTTTACAATAGTATGTCAATTACAAGGTGTAAGTGTTCCATTACAGGGTCCCTTTGCTTCTTTCACTAAACCTCAGAGGTCTCCACATAAAAACCTCAGTGAACCTTTATTACCATGAACAATTTATTCCTTTAGTGAAGAAAATTTATCAAGTTCATCTTTTTTTTTTCACTTTCATCTAGTTATAAATAATTATTAATTTGCGAATGATAATACCCACTTCTTAAAATGATTGATACTCGAACAAGCTCGAATCAGAATAAGATCTCTACACTTGCATATATCAAATCTTAATTTCATGAAACATTTAGCCACTAAAAGTAGGTTATTAAAAGCGTGAAGAAAGAGACACTTGAGTTCGAGTCTCTCCAGGCACTAATAAAGGGGGTCACTGAGGTTCTTACTTGGTCAACAGCTCCAAGACTTTGAATGATTAGTTGAGGTGCGTGCAAACTGATCCGGACATTGCCAATGATAAAAGAGAGAGAGAGAGAGAGAGGACTACCAAAATTGAAAATCTTAAAGAAATTCGTAGAAAAGTTAGCAAAGATTGAGAAAGAATTATAGCGGATGTATGAACAATGAATGAGGAGCAAATGAATTAATTGAGAAAGGAACGTATTGGGACAGAAGCTGAGGTGCCAATATATGTGTACAATCAACTCTATTATGTATTCCTTCAAAGCCAAGGTAGACTCTGCAATCAAATTTAATTCCCAACAGCCTCTAAATTAAACTATTTGTCTCTTCTTTTGGATTTCTTTGCACTTGAATACAAATCTTTTGTTTTTGGGGGCATACTACTCTTGTTCAAGTTCAAACATACCTGTGTTTGAGTTTTTGAATCCAATTTCAATTGGAATCTCGGAATGCAAGACTCATGAGATTTTTATAACATTCTTCTTCTTTATAGTGAAATTCTATCTACAATAGCAAAGTGGACATAACTCTTGTATTTTCTCATTTGTTTGTTTGTTTATTAGTGCTTTCATAGGTATTTAAGAATAGCAATTAACATAATAAAAATTAAAAAAAAATCCCATCAACATGCATCTACCAATTTGAAATGTGTTTTTTTTCCAATCAGTTTATTTACTATCATTGTTGAATGATTATAATTGAACTTAGTTTGAAGACTTTAATGAATCATGGAGGTTCTAGTATGAATATACATCAAAATTCTCAAGTACAGATATCCTCAAATGTGTAACATGTGGATCAAAGTTCAATAACTGGCTGTTGTCATCGATTATATTTATATAACAGAAGTCTACAATTTTCTTAAACTACAATTTTCATTAGATCGAGTCGATAAACATTTTACAGACATTGAAAAAACACTAAAGACAAAAATTCAAATTTTCTCATATTGAAAACCGACATAGAAAAATTACCTCTGGGTAATCGAGCGATTCGATAGAGACTTTTAAATGTATTACTCAAGAGGTCCTTAATTTGAGTCTCTCTTCGGTTACTAATAGGGGTAGTCACTAGAGCTCTTACCCGGTAGATAATTCCAAGGTCTCAAGAAATTAGTTGAAGTACGCGTAAATTGGTTCAGATATTCTGGTCATTGAAAAAAAAAAAAACTAACAAAGAAAATATCATTTTAGTTTATCAACATCATCTTATAAGAGTTTAGATTTTAATAACACATTGGCACTTGAGAATTTGTGTATATATGCTTAAAAATTGGTCAATTTTTACATTAAGAATTTAGAAAGATATTAACAGGTAGGAAGTAATTAACTCATTTAATTAACATAATGAGTTATGGGGATTAGTTGAGGTGAGCGGAAGCTAGCTCAGATACTCCGGTCATCCAAAAAAAAAAATTAATTAATTAATTAACATAATACAAAAAGTAACAAATGAATTGGGTCAATAATAAGAAAATAATTATGATCAATAAATAATGGTGTCATAAGAAATAAATACCCAGAGAGTGGAAAAATATTCTCTTGGGTAGATCCAAAAGTACTCTTCATCACCAGAGGTGAAGTGATGGAAGTTCCTAAAAAAAACCCATCAACAATAAAAATTAGAAAATGAGATGATTATAAAAGTTAATATGAAAATTGATAAAAGGGAAAAGGGCCCTTAAATTTAAGAGGGTGTAGAAACGTGTAATGTAGCCCCCAGAAGCATGTGAAAATGCCTCCCCTCCCTCTTCCTTAAAGAATTGGTCCCAGTCTCTGCATGTCTTCACGTGTCCTGACTCCTCCCATCCCCATTGCTGTTAATTACACCATCAGCTTCTGCATAGGATTCTAAGGCCCCATATCAACATATTTTGATTGATATTCATATTTATAATCTTAAATTTTTAAGTATCATTTTCTAGCCTCTGTGTCCCTTACTCTCAGTCATGGCATGTGAGATGCAGCCTCCAATCAGCCAACAGTGAGTTAAAAAGAGTTTTAGACTCTTCTGATGATAAGACAAAGTCCTTGATAAATGAGAGAGAAACGGAGAGAGAGAAGAAGAGTTTGGTTTGGTTTTCTTTTAATTTGTAGTGTTGTTTCTATCATTTTGCTAATTCACAGTGACTGTTGTGAGTGAGAAAGAGCAAGAAAATCTTGAGAGAAAAGGTAAGAAAAGAAAGAAAATCTTAAAACACCTAAACATGTTTGATGGAGTTCCAGCTGAACAGTTGCACCAGTTCATAACTTCATCAACAAGACCTTCTCTTCCTCTCCCTCTCCCTCTTTCTTTTTCTTCTTCAGCTCTTCACCTCCATCATCACCATCATGCCTCCTCCAACACCAATATTTTCCCTACTTTTGATCCTTACACTTCCACCCCTCCTCCTTCTCAACAGCTACTACAGCTCCCCCACCATCATTTTTTGCACCCATTGCACCACCACCAGCAGTATTCACCAACCCAGAAAAATCATCAAGACAAACAAGAAAACAACAACAGCAGCAGCAGCAGCAGCTTGGTGGCGATGAATTTCGAGATTGAAAGAGATAGATCGATACCGGAACCGGTTGAAGTTGATCCAACTTGGTCTAATGAAGAAGTGCTTTCACTGTTGAGGATCAGATCTAGCTTTGAGAATTGGTTCCCCGAATTCACTTGGGAACATGTATCAAGGTACTTTTATCCTTTCTGTGCAATTCGTTTCAATTTTTATCCTGAATTTTTCTTGTTTGGTGAGTGCAAAATAAGATGAAGCTAGGGTTGAAGGTGAATTATTTATATATGCATGGGATAAACATACAGTGACTCTTGAAATCATGGAATTTTGTGACTTGAATGAGTTGCAGTAGTACTTTTAGCTGTTGGTTTCTTCATGAACTTTACCCCAGTAAGCTCAATCGGGATCTTCAATAATTTTGAGCACAACCACAGAGAGAGAATAATTAAAGAAAGAAGTCCCTGCTGGCTCCTATATATTTTAATAAAATTAAGAGATATATTAAAGCAGAGAGAATAAAAGTTCATGGTCATTTTGGTTTTATGTATTTCTGGTGTTTGCAGGAAGCTTGAAGAGACTGGGTACAAGAGAAGCGCAGACAAGTGTAAGGCGAAATTTGAAGAGGAGAGCCAATGCTTCAACAACATTAATTACAACAAAAGCTATAGATTGTTCAGTGAATTTGAAGAGTTTTATCATGGTCATCAAAACTCCCAGGTGGTTGCTCAAGATAAGAACCAGAAGATGGAGAAGTCGCGAGAAGAAGAAGGAGAAGAAGACGATGAGATGGAACGTGATAACTTGGATGAAGATTCGAAGAAAGAGGAGATAAGTGTGGAAGATGCACCTGAGGATAATGAGAAATTGGTGGAGATATCAAAAGGCAAGAAGAGGAAAAGACAGAAGAACTTTGAGATGTTTAAAGGCTTCTGTGAAGACATTGTGAAGAAGATGATGGCTCAACAAGAGGAGATGATGAATAAGCTTCTTGAAGACATGATGAAGAGAGATTAAGAGAAGGTTGCCAGAGAAGAAGCTTGGAAGAAGCAAGAGATGGATAGGATTAATAAGGAACTTGAAATTAGGGCTCATGAACAAGTCATTACAGGTGATAGACAAACCACCATAATCAAATTCTTAAAGGGCTTCACTACCTCTACTGGTTCTTCTGAAACTGAAAGTCGTCTTGATAAGGTACTAAACACTCTAAATTCTCCCACTTCATCTTCCTTAAATCTTGCACAAAACCCTAATGCTCCACAAAACAATCTAGAAATGCCCACTTCAGCTAGCCATCAAATTTCAGTTTTTTCTCCAAGCCAAAGCAGTCCATTGACATCCACTTCACTACCTCAGCCCTCAGCACCACAAAACCCTATTTTAAATCTTGCTCCAACCCAAAACCCTAATTCTCCAAAATCCCAAAACAAGCAATTACCACCCACTACTTCGTTCTCAAAACAAAATGGCACTCAAATTAATCATGGAAGTAGCAATGATAAAGAAGACCTCGGCAAGAGATGGCCTAGAGATGAAGTGTTTGCACTGATAAACCTGAGATGCAGCCTCTACAACAATGGAGAAGACAAAGAAGGAGCGGCGGCGGGAGCGGCGAAGACTCCATTATGGGAGAGAATTTCACAAGGGATGTTAGAGCTTGGATACAAAAGAAGTGCAAAGAGATGCAAAGAGAAATGGGAGAACATCAACAAGTACTTCAGGAAAACCAAGGATAACAACAAGAAGAGATCACTTGACTCAAGAACATGCCCTTATTTTCATCAATTAAGCACCTTGTATAATCAAGGAACAGTTGTAGCACCACCCTCCGATGGCACGGAAAACCGCTCCTCCAGCTTACCGGAAAACCACAATGCTTCTTCTTCTCAGGGAGGTTCTAGTACGACTGATTCAATTGTTGAAGGTGAGAAAATTTTGGTTCAAGCTGAGCCTCCTGCAGCTTTCGATTTTGATTTCTAATATTAAATTTTATGAGAATTTTTGTGAGTGTAGTGGCATTTTTATCACTAAATGAGTACATTAGACAGTAACTTTTATTGGAATTTTATGTTATATGTTTTTTGTTTGAAGTTGTATTGTAGTGACAGTGAGCACCGACAAGATATATGAAAAATGATGAGTAAATATTAGAGGAGAAGATGTGTTTTGCTACATGAAAGAAAGACATTCTTCAGACTGTTGTTACCAAATAAAATAAAACAATACGGTGGGAAATTTGGAATCTTTTTCAACCAAGGAATTGCTCGTCTTGAAATGACTTCATTTTTTTATATCAGAATCAAGAAACACATAAATGGCCAATCATTAATGCTATTGCCACTCCATTTCTCCCTTTACACTTTATAGAAATGGAGTTAATGAAAAGAATACAGAAATCAGAAGCAAGAAATATAAATACCGACCTCTCCCCTTGTGGCCGAATGACAAACCCTTTAACTATTATGGTTGGTTATACCTAGGGGGGTTTATGTTCAAGTCGCAGGAAAGATATCTATCATATTTGTGCAATTACCTTAGTCTACTGGGCTTACAAGGTAGTCCTAAGGATTAGACAGACTCCAATATAGATTTGGATACCTCATATACATAAAAATAAAAAGAATACATTTGTTTAGCTACAAAAATTAGAAGCAAGAAATATAAATACCAAATAATGTTATTGCCACTCCTCTTCTTTTAGAAATGTTTAAGCTTAATTTATATACTTTGGAGAAATTTGCATTAATGGAACGATTGCTATTAATTAAATTTTATAAATAAGAGTATGATCATCAAATTTTATAAAGATGGGTGATGTAAGTTTCTAAATTTAGAATAACTAATTTTATAAAAGAATGAGATGTGATAGTCTTGAACTTGATGATGAGGACTAGTGTTATAAATCAGGCACCCAATAAGGTTTGCTCCTTTCATTGATTTCGCTGAGTTCCAATCACTTTGAGACCATCTATCATATTTGTGACTTATTTAGGCTTGTAGGGTATTCAATGGGCTCCGAAAATTAGTTGAGGTATACGTAAACTAGCCTAAACACCCCGATCATCAAAAAAATATTTTTTTTTCTTGATATTTCGATGAGAAATTGCTATAACCACCAAAAAATTTAACTCAAGCCTGGTAACATCAAGTGCAATTAAAAATTAGAATAGAGGTTGTTATTAAGAAAATAATATTATTACAAAATTAAGTGTAATATATATATATATATATTCACAAAGAGTTTCAGTTGTCATCCCTATTAAAAGTCATAGGAACTTGTGGGGATTACCTAGGGGTTTAAACGAGCTAAGCCGAGCTGAGTTTTGGGCTAATGGAGCTCAACTTGTTTGCTTGTCAAGCTCACCCAAAAAAACTCTCCAATCCTTCATTTTTTTTTTTTTCTTTCCATTCGAGTTTTTTGAGCTTGAACTCATCTCGATATTGTAGCCAAGTCAAGCTGAGTTGAAGCCGCTCGCAAGTGGCTCAACTTGGCTTGGCTGACACTCCTATGATTATTATCAAGAGAACTCGAACTTGGGAGACTAAGCTAGATCTTCCTTTATTCTTTTATCATCAAGTCACCCAATGACGGTTATATGTGTGAAATAATTGTAAAGAGGTATATGTATAAGTGATTTTTTCATGGTATTTTAGAGTATGTGATTAATAATTTGAATGAATGAAATAAAAGTGGAAATAGTAATAAACAGGAGAAGCTAAAATACAAACTATGTAAAATGACAACTCAAATACAAAGGGGACCTACCACATGACCCCAAAAATTACTCTTTGTACGCTGAATATCAACAGAATACTTGAAACAGTAAAAACTGTGCCGTTTTGTCCTTATAATCCACTTTGTAACAACTACTGCCTTCAACTTGTGCTTTCGTGGGTCCTCCTCTCTTATTTTATTATTATTTCTCTGTGCAGAGAGAGATTCATTGATGTACTGCCAACTACACATCACCATCACATGTGATGCTCTGTCTCGTCTGTAAGGGCGTCGCCAGCCAGCCAGGATCGTGATGAGTTGGTGCACGTGCGTGCATCATTGTGGGGTCCTTTCCATCAGACGGCTCTGAATGATACGTGCGTGTGTGTACGTATGGGTTTCGGTTTGGGTGTTTCATTTTTTTTTTTTTTTTCTTGGGTTCTGGAAAAAGTCAACATGATCAAGTGATGTCCTGGGTTTTGACTTGTGTTTTCTTTTTTCTTAACCCTTTGTAACTGCTTATTGATTACAATGATTTCAGTGTAAAAAGTTGACTTTTGAGTTTTGCTTATCAAGATTCTCATATGTATCCTTTTTCATGCAGGTTTCCTGTACTGGATCATGGGTTAGTATTTTGTTGTTGGACTTGGATCAACCCACAACCCATGGACCAAAACTCTTGCCCCAAATACTCTCAGGCCCATCATTTTAAAACCGAGCTCCCGAAATGTTATATCAAGTCGGATTGATGAACACGAATCAGACTCATTTAAATAATTTTTTTCAAATGATACTAACCCCAAACTTATATGTGTAATTTCTTTTAGAAAATCGGAATCATAAAATGTTTATGTAGTATTTGACGTAAATTTCAAGTATATTAAGACGTATGAGTTTTAAACTCAAATATGTTCAGTTTAACTAAGTAAAACCATTGTGATTGACCACTTTTTTTTTATATGGATTTTTTAGTGTATTATTCGATAGGTTTTGAGTTCGAATCTCTCTTTGGAAGAAGTAACTACTGGAATTCTTACTTGATAAATAGTTTCAAGGTCCCGAAAGATTAGTTAAAATATTTGTAAGTTGGTACGAAGACTCCTCAATCATTAAAAAAAAAAAATAATAATAATAATAATAATAATAATAATAATAATAATTGACCACTTCACATAGCCCAACGTGTCAACCATAACAGTTGATATCACAAATTTAATTAAAATGTGAATAAAATTCTCCAAATTTTTAAAAGTTTGATAAGACCGATGAAGGAAATATTGACAAGGGCTTGTCCGTAGCACTTCCTTTTTCTCCACCAACTCTTGTTTTATTTGAGCCCATTTAGGCGTTGTTGTGTACCACTCAACCACGTTTCCCCCGTTTAAATTTCAACTCACTTGACCTACACCAAACCTTTCTCTTCCCTTTCAATTTTGGCCTTTTATTTTATTTTGATTTTAAAAAAGAGGGAAAAAAAAAAAAAACCTTCAATTGATCATCTTTTAGAGGAGTAATGCTACACGCACCGAATGACGTGACACAATATATTACTCGACGATCATGATTGCGTTACGTCATTTGGTGCGCATCATTCGATAATTATATTATTTTCTCTTTTAAAGAGCCTAAATTAGAGTAGAATAACCACCACCGAGTAGTCTAATGGTAAAAGAGCAAAGGAAGATATAATAAGAGGATGAATCTTATTCGGACGATAGTTTTAAGGTCTTAAGGGATTAGTTGAGATGCATGTAAACTAGTCCGAACACCCTCGATCATAAAAAAAAAAAAAAAAAAAAGAACTAGGAGAACCAGGAGCAACCGCCCAAATACTTGAGACAATAACATAATGCACAATCTTTAAGATAGCATTTTCAACACTTTTTCACTCCACCCGCTTGGAGTATAATTTATAGTAAGCTTTTGGTTCTTTATATTTGTTTCATTAAGTTGGCCTTCAATAACCAACAAATATCCATCTCTCCAAAGTTTGTTGAGATATAAGTCCAATTAAATAGAGCATGCTATCACAAGTCACATAAAATAAAGTAAATGGGTTGTTCATCTCTTCACGCTTAATATACTTTTATTCATGCGTAGTTATACTTTAGCTTTTAAGGGTTACTATCATATACGCCGATGTGATCCATTAATTCCATACTCACCTACGACCACGAGTCACATTCACGAGTATAAAAAAGTATCGTATCGGTTTTGTTAACTTCCTGAAAGCAGTAGATGTTAATAAAATTAAACCATCACTTAAGAGTTATGATAATAGGTTATTACTACATATGCAAATTTTTTTTATACAAATTGAAGTATACCCTGTATTTAATTTGAAGATGGAGATTGAGTTTGTAAATTGTAAATTGAGATTGTGTTATTTTTTTTATTGAATTGGGTAGTTTTCCTTTTACACGAATGATGTTATAGAAAAGGTGTTATGTTCCCTTTTCAACTTTTTCTAATAAAAGAGTGTGATGGGTAGCTTCAAAAAGTAGCTCTCCAATAAAGGAACAAAACAACTAGTTCCTACCCACAAAACTTATTAGTCCCACCTTAATTATATTCATTATTGGGAAAAAAAAATTGTTGTTTTCTGAATTTAAATGTAATTAATATATGATTTAGATGTTAAACAACATTCTCATTAATTATTTATTTTATAATTATATGATCAAAGAGCCTTTAAGATAATCTTCAATATTCCTAACTACCCCCTTGGCACAATATATTAATGAAGTTAGTCTCTTACTTGTTAATACAACACCTACAAATAATAAATATATATATGAGCCATTATGAAAAAAAAAATAATAAAAAAATAATCTATGTATTATGAATGAATTAGAGATCAATTTTTCATACAAACCCATCTATACAAAGTGATGTATTTTAATGTGATTGGGTACTTTTGAATTAGAGATAAACTTAGCAATTCAAGTAGATGATATGTCAAACAAGTCAAATTGTTGCATCAGTTTGTAGGGAATAATTTGTATATAGAGCATTTTTCTTAAATATATAAATAGGATAAGTAAGAATTTGTTTGGTATAGATTTTAAATGTAGTTTTCTATTTTTGAAAAACAAGAGATAAAAAAATATAACCCCAAGGGAGCCTGACGGTCAAGAAGGTTAGCTCTCTTCATTAACTTCCTATGTTCGAGCCACCTACCACATTTGTAGCTTACTTTGAAACATTGAACTTATAAGGTGTTCAGTGGGCCACAAAGATTAGTTAAGATACGCATAAGCTAATCTAAGCAGTTCGGTTATAAAAAATCTTATAATAACCGAAAAGTTTTCAGAAATAGTTTTCGAATACCATCTTAAAATTTACTTTATATTTTATAAATTTGAGAATAGTTTTGCATAGTCAAATATTAAAATAATCAAATCATAATTTAAAATTTTTAATTATATTTTAGTTTTAAAAAT